TTTGTTGTGATTTGGCGCTATATAAATAAAATTGAATTGAATCTATCAAGGACATTTGTGACTCTTCATGTTACTTTAAAATACAGCAGAGATGGTGGTGAAAGTGCATCTTCAAGAGATGCACATCTTCTCTAAGGTCCTCGGGCTTGTTTTGGATGTATGTCGAGCTGCAGGAATCCATTACTTGAGTCCACTGATGTTTTTTAGACTTCTTCAGTGCTTCCTGTCCTGTTCCTGTCAGAAGTCTCTGAATATGCTCATGTACTGGAAAAAAAACAACTTTACTTTAGAGGGACTCACATTAGTTCTTCTACACAATATATCTTAAAGAGATGCAGTGTGACACGTTATCAATGTTTGCTTTTTTCTTTTGTCTTTGCACACAGATATAACAGTGTGGTGTGGACAAAATGTCACTCTTCACTGTCAGGGTCCCAGTGGTGTAAATATCACCCTGTTAGAGTGGAGCATACCTGAGATTAAGTCAGACGGATACGTCTTCTTCTACCGAAACCGGCGCTCATACGAAAGCTACCAGCATGAGCGTTTTAAAGGCCGAGTGGAGCTGGCAGACCCGTCTATGGAAAACGGAGACGTTTCTGTGATTCTGAAGAACGTCAGCGTCAACGATACAGGAACATATGAGTGTCGGATTATAACCAGCGATCTCAGCAGCGGTCAGAGAATCCAGCGTGAGACCAGGCAGTCCATCAACCTCACAGTCACAGACTCTGGTGAGTTGAGAGGTTCACTTTACTACTTATTCTTCTTCTGACTTGTAGGGACATGTGGAGGCAAATTGCAGCCCCTCACTGCACGGCTAAGTACAAAAGAGCTTTTTGTGTCTTTGAACTGTGACGCTGGCTTTTCGGAAGGAAGCATTATCTGTTCATTCATGGTAAAAACTGAAGACCATGCATGTTATTTTCCACCATCTGATAAAAGAAAGAGGAGAAAAATCCCCAACCTACGTCAATGGAAAGGATTTAAAAATATCTTAGTCGTCTTTGGATGGGCTCTGAATTTAGCGCAGACTTTGATGTTTATGAAATCTTCACTGCAAACTGCAGTGATCTTATTTTTCTGTTTCTACTGTGGTCTGAGATATAATGATGCATCCTGCAGTGACAGGTGGTGACATATCTGATCTGACACAGTTGTTTATTGGCTGTGTTTTATTTTTATTCAGACATCTGCTATTGCTCTTTTTTCC